CAACACTTAAATTAGGTATTACAAATCTGAATTTTGTGGTCTCTTTTGAAATCACAAGATCTGGCCATATTAGACTGTTATTTCGCTAAATATTGGCTGAATAGAGGCAACCTCTTCAGATGGAGTGTTTGAGTTCTGAATTACTCAACTGGTTCATTTACTTTATTTGTTTGTAATCCAGTTGGATTCTGGAAACATTCAAGTTTGCTACCCCACTTTAATATACTCTCTAGACTTGCTTGTTCACCCTTTAACCCTCTGTCAGTGCTGAGTTTTTCACAATCTACTTAGTCATAGAATAGCAGTATCCTTGTTTTTCCCTGATTCTTAAGATCTTGTCGTGAGAGAAACTTTTCCTTCCAAATCCAAAACTAGCTATAATCACTCATTCAACAAATAATTGAACACTTATCATGAGTCAAGCACTGGGGATACAGCAGTGAACAAAGTGGACAAAAATTCCTACCTTTGTAGAGCCTCTATTCTAGTGATCTCCAGGCTTGCTCTCCAGAAACTCATTGAGCCTGCTTTTGTTAGACACATGAAAATCTATTGCTTGGTATCCTTGAACTGGATCTGCTCTCAAGAATGCATGCTTTTTCTAAAAGCCTTTATGTTCTTTGCTGTGCTCTTTTAACTCTTCCAAAATTCTAAGCTCTTTTATCTTCAGTCCTTCAAATCTCACTGCTAGAATTTCCTGCTTTCCGTGCCTTCTTACCAATGAGTTGCGGTATCCATCTATTACTAGTCATTTCTGCTTCTCAGATAAATCATTACATCTTGAATATTTAATCACAGTTCATTTATGAGGACCAAAAATTCGATGTAGGAGTTCATAAAGCATTTACTAAGTGACAACATCTACCCCTCACACACACACACAAAAATCCCAGAACATCCCCTTTCAAGTTACTGCCCAGTTTTTTTGTTTTTCAGTAGTGACATTCTCCAAAATGTAAAATTATTCACTGTTGATAATACATCTCAGGCTATTCAAAGCTCTTCAGACTAATTCCCTTAATTGTGTTGATACTATTTTTGTGACAATTACTGATATCAGGTTTTAAAATCTATTGTCCTCTTAACCCTCATCTTAGACTTTGTTGACCACTATGATCTGTAAAGTTTAACAAGTCGCAGTGTGCCAAGTCCTGTGTTAGGTACCAAGGATACCATTTTAGTCTTTCAAAAGTTCTTATTTTTATAAGAATTGAATATTTAAGGTAATAATTTTTATTTTAATTTTTCCCTTTCTACATAGTGTCCTTCACTTCTAAGACTCTGTAGCCATCATTCTCTCAGATTTCAACCTATGAAGTTATTCTGTAGCATTTGAAATTATGAACACCTCTTCTCATTTATCTTTTTATTGGCTTTTGTGGCAGTAGTCTTTCTTCATCCTCCCAACTTGCAGCTCATTCTTTCTTCCCTCAGACAGCAGTCTTGGAGGTTTCTTGCATTTTTATTACCTTCCTTGGTGATTCTTCCTGTCCCCTAGAATCTGATTGTTGCCTGTCTGTCTATGATAAGTCTGAAATCTAATTCTTCCTCTGAACTGCAGGCTTAGGATTCCATTTATTTCAACCTCTTCATGAGGATCCCATGTTCAAACAAATATAAAAAATTTTATCTTCAAGTTTATTCTTATATTTTTATATCCCAGCTAGCTCCTCAGGCTAAAACCTTGGTGACTCACCTTTCTTTCATAATCTTGCCCCATTTCAATCCAGTTAAAGTACAGTTGACCCTTAAATAAAACGGGTAGGGGTTTTGAACCTGGTGCAGTCGAAAATCCACATATAATTTTTGACTCTTCAAAACCTTAGTTGTCCCTCAGTATCCATAGGGGATTGGTTCCAGGACCCCTGTGGATACCAAAATCCACGGTTGCTCAAATTCCTTACATAAAATGACATACATCAATGCATGCAGTCGGCCTTCCCTATCCACAGACTCATCACCCCCAAAGATGGAAATCAGTATAGGCATGTATTGAAAAAAATACGCATATAATTGGACCTGCACAGTTCAAACCCATGTTGTTCAAGGGTCAACTGTAGTCTTGACTATTATCCAAGTGATTCGTTTTATTCCCACTGCTTTGGATTAGGTTCTCATCTTGATAATGTATTCAAAGTATTTACTGTGAAAAATGAGTTTTCTAATTGATGTCCCTCCTAATCTCTTGTCTAAGAAAAATAAAACTTAATATTCCTCAGCTTGGAGGCCATGTATTTCCACATTGAAGTGAAGAAATACGTACTTTAAAAAAACTGGTACTAGAGAACTCACACAAGGTTTGACTCAAACATGTTGGAGTGCTTATTCAGACTGCTCTGTTTCCTTTTTTGCTTAAAACGACAGGCTCTGAATCCCCTGTTCTTCTATATTCAGAGCAGCTCTGCTTTCCGCTTTTACCTTCAGAATTCAGATTTCTTAAAAGAGCATTTTTGCTTATTTAAAAAAACAAATCAGTGTTCTAAACTACATTTTGCCACAATGAATGACATGTTAGAAACCGTTAGGAAATTAATACCTTCAGCTGGGACCTGTAGACTTCCTACATTTCATTATCATTAATGGTATCATCCTACAAGTCTGTAAAACTATATCAAAAACTTAAATTGTTTTTAATTGTAAAATTTACACATGTATGTGGTTAACATTAAGTATATTATTTAATGTATGTTTTAATACTAAACTGCTTTCACAATTTTATAACAAAGGCTCAGTATTTATAATATGAATATTTCTCCATAGGTAACTACTACTATTCCTCATTTATCTTTCCAAAAATTTCCTTGCTTGTAAGTCTTAAAAAATTATACTAAAACATGGTTCTGTATTTTCATTTAACACTTTATATTGGTAATATTTCTGTATTGAGATGTGTAAATACTTTCTGTTTTCTTAAGTGGCTATATGATATTTCATTATATGGATGTAAGGTAACAGATTTAACCAATTTAACCAATTCCTTGTTGCTGGATTGATGGATGGATTTTTGGCAATGAGTATCCTTGTATATATGTTGAAGTTGTCATTTAAGCTTCTTTGTTGATTATTTTGAATATAGCAGAGTTTAAAAGTATAGGCTTTGTTCTATGCTCAGTTCTTCTAACTAGCTATGTGACTATCTGCAAATGACATGATCCTTGGTACATGGTCCTTCCTTGATCACTTCTACCCTAACTCCCCCCTACTTCCCCCGCTGCCTCCACAATGCTCTGGTTTTCCTACTACACACAGACTCTTTAGTGTGTTCCCGGTCACCCTACAGGGTCTTCTTGTCTGCCTTATTGATCTTGTTAGCTACCATCCTCAGTTTCTGTATTGTGGCCTTTCTCAAAGGTGTCAGGCAAACACCTATCTCTTTGGAGCCTATATGCTTCTTGCGTCCTCTGCACAAAGTATTTTTCCTCAGATATTGTATGGCTGGATTTCTTTTTCCTTTTTCTGTCTCAGTTTAGATGTTAACTCTTTAGGATCCTTCCACTTTTTTCATACTATATCTCAGTATCTGAATGTCTTCCATCATGGCACAAAAGCTCCATGGGGAGAGGACTTTGTCTCCTTTATTCATGGCATGACAGTGCTCCTACCACCTAGAACAGTCTTTGGCACTTAGTCGGCAGTCTACACGTAAATGGTTTTGAATGAATAACATACATGCAGCTGGTGGCTATTAGCTTATTAATAAATAAATCAGTTAAAATACCATCCTCTGTACCAAGAAGTATAGCTTTTTATCATTCTACTTTTTGTATGCTTTTTATGCTTTTGCTCCTTTAGTTATGAGAACATGGCTGTCCCATTTGGAATGTTTTTCCTAGAAATTTAAAAATTTCTTTGTTAAACAGTGCCTAACTATGTGCTATTCACTGGTCTAGGGACATTTACTCATTACCTCAGTTTATTTAATCTTCAGTCACACAGATGTAATGTTTATGATTCATGAATCTGAATTTCATCAACATTAATGAGTCATTTAATTTGGATTCAATTGTGTGATCAAACATTTAATGTATGAGTATAAGAGGTTACCTGCTCTTCTGCTCAGTGAACACTTTATGCTCGTGATACAGGCACATGAATCTGCTATTCCTGCAGCTGGTATTCCTGAGTGAATCTCATAGTACATGCAACTTACTATGTTAGATATCAGTTTAGTGTCTAGAGATAAATAGAAATTATGCAACATGGCCTCTAAATGGTGGAGAGTGGAAGAAATAGTAGTCGGCACCAACAATGAAGGACAAATTGGTTGTGTTAGTCTTTCTTCTAAGATTTTATGTTCATCTCCAACATGGAGCTTTCCTAAGGGGAATTTTGGCTAGGTGTGATTTTTTTTCTTTATGTGCTCACTGACTTTAGAACCTAACTCTTTCATAAAGTGCTTCTGTACTATAGTTATAATTTGATTTTTTTCATACTGGTTTTCCGTTTGATTCCTTTTGGAAAGGGGTTAATTTCATCAAGCAATATGGTTATTATTAGATCATAACTGTTAAGTAAACTTCAGAACGCTTTGGGTGGTGTTACAGACATTGAAAGTATAAGTTAATGCTCTGATCTGTTATCTTTTGCAATACTCACCTTGCTCTTCCTCTTGCCATTAATTAAAAGGTTGAGAACTTCCTAAGGTGATAGTGGTAGAGATACTAGTTGGAAACTGCTGTTACCAAAGTTGCCTAGAAACCTGGATATAGCAGCCAAAATGTCTCCTTCCACTGTACAGTATGATGAAATTTTATAGTCACTTAACTATATATATTTCCCTGTCGATAGGTGACAAACCTTATTAGGGTTTTTCAGTATAAAAATTGTCAAATACCTATAAGAATATAGAGAATGGTATAGTGAATCTCCATTATACCATTTAGCTACATTTGGCCATTTTTGGTTCTGTATTCCTGGGCCCTCCTCTCCTCCTATTTTGAAGCAAATCCTAGATCTTCTTGTGTCCATAAACCAAAATCTTAATTTTGATATTGGTATTATTGTGAAATATTAGTTTAAACTTTATTTTTCAACCATCTTGTAAACGTGCCAGGGATGAGAAGACAATTTTGTACACAGCTAGATCGAGGGACCCCTTCTGTTATAACATTTTGGCCATTTGGCAGTGAAGAAGAATAGCTCAGTGGTCTTAATTTTGTTGAGGAAAGTAAAAGATTTTTATCACATGAAGGATCCTTAAAAAAATCATTTGTGCTAGAGACATTTCAACTTAAAGCTGCCTCGTTAATTTTAGCCAGTTGCATGGATTAATAATTTTTTTGAAACTTTTTATCTATAGGAATCCTATGAGGATGGTTGTGAGGATTATCCCACTCTATCAGAATATGTTCAGGATTTTTTGAATCATCTTACAGAGCAGCCTGGCAGTTTTGAAACTGAAATTGAACAGTTTGCAGAGACCTTGAATGGCTGGGTTACAACAGATGATTCTTTGCAAGAACTTGTGGAACTCATCTATCAACAGGTAGGTTGGCCGATAGCATACTCAGATAGCTTCCTCGAAGCCCAAGAATGAGGGAGGTCAGGTTCATGTTCACTTGCCTCCACACTTATTAATGCTTTGTTTCATGGGAGCTTTTAAAGTGTCTATTATATAAAATTCTTAGGTAGTCATCCAGGGCTAGAGCCAGACTGCAGATTCACCTGTGTAGCCAAGACTATACAGGGGGTTGGAAGGAGCTCTGGGCAGTTATGAAGAAGACTGTATAAGTATCATGCACTTCTCCACCCCTGTGTTTTATAGGATCTTAAATTAACAGTACATTAAAAAGACGAATTCTTTTCTCCTAGATGTTGACTCATATAGCATTATTAGAATAGGGAAGAAAATAATCGTGGTAGAACTTTCTTGCCTCATAATGTAAAAAAAAAATCAGAGCACAAAATACTGTCTCGTGTTTTAACATTTCTGCTTATTTTCACTATATTTGAAATTTTCTAGGATTTACAACTTAATTCCTTAATTCCTGTAAAGTCTAATATCAGTCTAGATTGTTCTTAATACAAAGTTTAGTTTTGGTCCTAGCATATTGGGCATTGACTCACTAATGATATTTTAAGGAGGAAAAAATAGACAACACTGGATTTTGAGTACAAATTTAAGGTCAGTGTGTGAGACTGTCCAAAATATTAGATGAACAGAAATATAACTTTTAGTGTTAAGTCATTGCTGAATGAACAGCTCAAACTTGGAATATATGGAGGGGTGATTATGATAGCAGGTTGATATTCCACTTAATGTCTCGTTTGACATTTCCAAATTGTTATTGTCACTGGACCCCAGGATTACCTAGCCAACTATTTATCCTGATAGAACTATTTATCCTGATACTTGCTTATTTATCCTGATAGAACTATCCTGATACTACTTATTTCTTATTGCTTTTCTGGTTTCTCTTCTATTTAGTTTCAGCTCTTCAGTAGGCTGCCTGATTATAGTTCTTTGGAGCTGGATGGAAGGGCTAATACCTGACAAACTACAATTCCTATGCTTGTCTCAAAGCCAGTTCTTCAAATATATACTCAGTATTTTAAGTTTTAACATTCTGTGGTCAGTGACACACAGATTTACCAATAATTATTACATTCATTGAGGGAATTTACTCATAGCGACTAACAAAAGACTTACTGTTTAAAAAAAAAGAAAGGAAATATTAAACATACATATTCAACACTGATTCCTCCTCAGATACCACTAAAATGATACTATGGAAATTTTTAGAGGCTAGAAGCCCGTAAGTACTGACATGGGGAAAGGAGAAGTACCAGTTTTGGAGACTAGAAAGCAGGTGGGTGAGTGGTAACTGACTTGGCAGATCTAAAAAAGTTAAGTTCCAAGCCAGTGAGAAAAGCTGAGAAGCTCCCTGATTTGCAGTGCAGAATCTCCAAAAGGCTCTAGGATAAAGGTGGAATGGAGCTAAAAAGATTGCTTGAAAATCTAAAAAAAATTAGACCCTCTAGATAGTAAGCCAAGGATAAAGACATAGGAATTAGGAAACAGGGAATTTTATAGGAGAAACTAAGTGTATCATCCAGATATGAAAGGAGATCCCAAGACAATAGCTGTGTGCATAGCAGTCCGAGAGGGGCCAGGTTTCACTGGAACAGGGCACAGGCTTCCAGGAAGTATTTCCCTGGTGAGATGAGCACAGGTGCTCTGTTAGAAGTTATTAAGAAATTTACCACTCACCCACCTGCTTTCTAGTGAATTTGAGAATAAGTCAATGAGCAGTATATAAAAAATCAAAGTACTAAAAAAAATTAAGTCTAGGGAAGACAAAGTTGTATAAGAAAGAAATCAGTATAAGATATGGTTTACCTGTAAATGGAAACACAAAATTAATAAATGAAATCATGGTATAACCATATTGGTAGGTTTCGGAAAGATTGGGAAATAGTGAAATGGTGGGGTTAGGCGAGTGAAAACTAAATGCTTATCTTCCATGGTGGGGAAACTAGGAAGAAGCAATGTCTAAACTGAAAAATCACAGATTGTGCAGCTACAGAGGTTTAAATCTTTTTAGTTGAAAGAATTGAAAGTGGTCGTCTATGGGAGTAAAATCAAAGTATGGTTGGGAAGCAGGAAACTTTAATAACCTGCCTTATAGAATTTTTTGTCTTTAAGTTGTGTGTGATATTTTAAAAAGTAAACTAAAAACGGGAAATACCAATAGGAAAAGTATAATTTTTGAATATTTTTTAATATAAATTTTGAATAGTACCAGATACACATACATCATGTCAGGAGAAACCAGGCTTTCTTCCTTGATGAGACATGTACAGGGTCCTGGGTAAGCAAGGAAATAATTAGAAATAAAAAGATCCAATAATTATAAAGTACTTACTATATGCCAGACAGCGCTGAACACTTGACATGTAGTCAACTCATTTAATCCCAGTGGTGGCACGATATTAGAAGTTAAATGTCTTGTCTAAGGTTACCACAGCTAGTAAGTAGATCCAGCATAGGGTTGGAAGAGCATCAGGACATTTGTTTGATGTGGATTCTGGCTAACTACTACCTTTGTGACCTTGGCCAAGTACTTTAACCTCTTACTGTGTGTTTTTCTTACCTGACATTAGGTAGTAAACTATGTCCTCTACTATTCTTTAAAAACTACAGTGAAAGTTAAACTTCTTAAGTACTGCTTCGGCTATATCACACATGCTTTGATATGTAGTATTTTATCACTGTCTTATTTTTTTTTAATGGCTTATCCATTGTGATTTCCTCTTTACCCCAAGTGTTTTTAAAGCATTAAGTATTAATCTCTCACACTGGGTACCATTAATCACCTCTTTTGGAATCAGGAAACTGAAGCTTAGGGAGGTTTAGTGATGTCCAAAGTCACAAAGCAGCAGCCTTGGAATTTTGATCTGGACTGGTAGATGCCAAAGACACTGCCATCCTATTCTTCAGAAACAGCACACATCAGTAGTTTGGCACATATTCATAATTGGCACTGTAAAACTAGGTACATGTACATATTTTGTGCAAAAATAGCTTTGTATAAAGAGATATTGTCTATCTGCTTTCTGGAAACATTAGGTATATGATGGGGAGAACTTGCCTTCAGCATTTTTCTTTGTACTTGTTATGGTTCTTGATGTAAGGTTGGGAGGGAGAGTTAACTTAATTTTCTTATGCCAAGCAACCATGAAAGACTTGTACATTTTTCTGTACAGGATGGTCATTTTGGGGAGTAAAAATGTTTTTTCCTCCCTAGAATGTTGCTGTTAAGTGTTTACATTAATGACAATGTATCTGTGTCCTACAAAACTTTTTTCTTTTTGAAAGGCCACGTCTATTCCAAATTTCTCTTACATGGGAGCTCGCCTCTGTAATTACCTGTCCCATCATCTGACAATTAGTCCACAGAGTGGCAACTTCCGCCAATTGCTACTTAAAAGGTCAGTGTGAACATATGAAATTAAAGGAAATCTACTTCTAAAGGTACTAGAATTTGACCATTCCTTTTTTCTAAAGGCTGTGCATTATAGAAAGTTGCAGGAGAGAATTAGATGGACAATTCTTATTTGTATAGTATAAGTTTATAGTCATATGAATGTGTATATGTGTATACATATAAATCCGTCTTTTTCTGCAATGGTCTCTGCCTTTGCTTTTGTGCTTAGGAAAGCTTTTCCTTTCCCAATATCTTAAAAATGATCACTTAACCTATTTCTTAGTACTTTTGTACTTTGGGTTTGAGCTTGGATCTAATTTATTGCCACATGTTTAACCAGTTTTTGCCATACCACTTTTTTTGAATGATTCATTTCCTTATTGATATGAACTGCTACCTCATATTTGGGTTTTGATGCTGGATTTTTATTATATTTCATTCATCACTTGTTCTATTCTTGTTTTACCATACTATTAAAAAGCTCTAATTTTTTATGCCTAGTTAGTTCCCCATTCTTTTTTTGTGGAATTTTCTCCACTATTCTTGCATGCTTATTTTCTTCAATGAATTTTGGAATTAGCATTGAAATTATATAAATCATGTTAGTATTTATATTTTTGGGATGACATTGAATTCATAAACTAGAGAAACTAACTTTTTATAATTTGAGATGTTATTCAATAATAATGTTGTCTTTGAGTTTATTATAGTTTGCACATTAGTTTTTTAAAGATATTTTTAATGGTTGCAAAATATTCCATCATGTGGTTAAGCTGCACTGAAACAGAATAAAGATTCCAAAAGAACACTTCAGAGGCACTTGAAAATTAAGCTTTTGGTGAAGGTGATACTTCAGATACATAGGTACGAGATAAATTGTGCTGATGATACAACTGGCTAATCATTTGGGGGGCAAAACAAAGATGGTTTTCTGTCCCTCTACACTATAATGTATTTCAGATATATCAAAGATTTAAATAAAAGTGAAACAGTAAATACTAGGAGGCAAACTGGCAAAACAAAAATCTTAGGTTGGTAAAGCCCTTTTAAGCAAGACGTGATCACCATAGGCCCTAAAACGAGATTATTTAATTACATATAGATTATATTCCTAAATCGATATGAAGTGAAGTAAAAATAGAGAAATATATAACGCATCGTAATGAGTTCATTTGTTTAATATGAAAAGAGGGGCCTCTTAGAAATGAGTAAGAAAAAGACCAATATTGTAATGGAAATATTTGGAATGGCTCTGAATAGGTACAATGTGGAAAAATATAAATGACAAAGTTATAAAAAGATGTCTAACCTTACCTATAATTAAGAAAATGCGAGTTACAGCTTCTAGAAAGATGTGAAAGTGGGCACTTCTAGTAGGTAAGATGGCAGAAAGGCTCACTTATCCTCCCTAGTTCCGCTCCCTGCTGGCTATATGTCTTAAAATAGGGTTGAGACTCTGCCCCTACTCCTGGGAATTCTAATATAATGGACTGAAGTAGAGCCTAGGCATGGTTTTTTAAAGCTTCCTAAGTGATTCTACTGTTGAGCCAGTTGAGAACCGCTCCTGGCTCTCTTTTGATGCTTTACCCCATTTGTATGCTCTGTAGTACTGTGATGCTGTCAGCTATTAACAGAGAAATGCTAATCTGATAAGTGAAAAGCAGAGCATAATTCTGTTATCTAACTTAAAAATATACACATACTTGAAAAAGACATAAGTTATCACAGGAGTTTATGGATTGCAGTGACTTTATTTTTTTCTCTGCATTACCCTTTCTGAAATAAGCATGTGTTGCTTTTATAGTTGAAACTCTTTAGCTTAAAAAAGTTTAAGGTCTTTCACCTAGATTATAATCCATCTACAGGAGTAGAGATTTGCTTTTGCACACATATATGCTTTTGCACCTATCTTTATGTGTAATAGTCATAGCATTTATAAAACAAAAAGGTCTTACCTGCAAAGTCATAAAAGAAGGGACAGAGGAGAGAGCAGCCCACAAGGTGCTTTAATAACTGAATTGATATTAATTAACCGATCTTTTCTGTCATTAACTAGAGTGTTCTGTTTATAGATATCCCAACTTTATTTCTGATGAGGAATTAATATGTATGAGAAAGTAACAAATATCTTCTATATCTGATTCCTACAAAGATGTTGCTTATTTAACAAAGCTTTTAAACATTGGAATTAGGCACATAGGGTTTATGATTGATTCACAAACTGACTCAAGGTAAATTCTGGTCAAGAAATGACTTTTTTCTTTTAAAAAATTTTTTTTAGAAAGCAACCTAAACTAGTCCCTCATGTATGAAAGCCATTAAGTATCCATAAGTTCCTTCCTTAGTTTTTAAAAGAACTGTCAGAATCAGTTTTATAAAACTCATGACTTTCCTAGAGTTTCCTTACCACCTTTTCAGTAAAGGTAAGAAAAAAATTAACACCAAAATGTAAATATTTAAAATCCATTAAAAAAAATCCATTTTAGTAACAGCAGCTGACACCATAATTCACTGACACAGGCAGGCAGTGACAAGCTTATTGGGATTATTTCAGAAACCCTGTAGGAACTATGTCCGTAAACTCCAAGAAGAGGATTTCTTTTGTTATTTGTGTAAGGTAAATGGGCCAAGTTGGGGGAAAATAAAGCAAGAGAAAAGAAGTTTTTTAACTCCTTCACTCTCTTTTGGAAATAGAGATCGAATTAATTGCTTTCTATGTGTCTGTGCAGTTGAAGACTTTCCCCCTCATTTCTGTTCTGATTGGTATACAGGACAATTATAAGGGTAACGGGCTTTTAATAAGCATTCATTTTATTGTCAGCTTAGTGGGAGGCGATCTATATATTTTTTAAATATGTTTCAAAGTTCATATATTCAGAAAGAGTAGAACATTTTACAGAGACAATTTGGTTAAAGTGCTTTCGTAACGAAAAGCCTGTATGATAAATGTGAGGCATTTTTTCTTCTGGTGCCAGTACACAACGAACCTCATGAAATCTATGTTTAAACTTATTACGACTTGATCTGATAGGTTTATTTCCAACATTCTTATCAGTTTCTTAAAGCTAGGAAAAGATTGTATTCTGGTCTCTACAATAGACAAGAACACTTTTTGTTATAGGAAGTCAGGCTGTTGATGATGCATTGTACTTGTCTCTGTATTGCTTGTGGACACCCAAACCAACAAATTATCATTTTGTTTGACTCTTTAAAAAACAAAGCAATATGAGATTATAAAAGATATATCTTTATTAGATGTCGGACTGAATATGAAGTTAGAGATCAAGCTGCAAAAGGGGATGAAGGGACTCGAAAAAGATTCCATGCTTTTGTACTCTTCCTAGGAGAACTTTACCTTAACTTGGAGGTGAGAAGAAAGTTTTCTTTTGTTATGTACTGACAAAGCCTGAGAACACAAATAGATCTCAGTAAAGAATTTGTGTTTACATTATACTTTTACAACATTAAGTGAAATGGAAAAGGAGAATGGGAGAGAAATAAAGTAATGTCTTAGTACCCACTCATGGTGGTGTCTGTACTCTAATGGAGCGTAATATAACATGTGTTTTCCTGTTCATAAGGAAGGTGTTGGGAAATAGTTACTGAGCATTTTAAAGCCTTCATGTACTTTGGAAAGCCATGGTGTACATGCAAGTTTAAGCTTTTGAAATAGACCCATCTTTCTGAATTATTGCATCAGAAACATTAGTACATTTAATATGTTGGCTTTCAGCTGTTGGCTGAAAAGTAACTTGACCTACAGAATATAGAGCTTTGGGTGAAGAGGGGAGAGAACTAGAGTTTCTATTTTTGTTTTGTTTTTACCTAATTCACCCAGATTAGTTTTTGGTCCTATTTTATATATTAATCTTCCACATAAAATGCATCTATACAAAATGTACAGCTAAACTTGAGTATATGCTTGTTAGTAGGCAACATAAGTGCTGAATATTACTTTGAAATGGATTTGCTAGATTTTTTTTTTACTAGTTCCAGATATAGGTATACCTTCTTAAATCCTGAATTGAGGACTTGGTATTATAAACACCACTGAAAAAACACATAAATCCACTATTAGATGTGCATCTCGGTGCATCTAAAAGGTCTATCTACATCCAGTCTAGTGCCTAAATTATATCTTTTACCATAGATGGGCTTAATTTTTTAAAAATCTCATATCTTAATCTTTTTCGATTTAATTTTTATGTAAACCAAAATAAGAGAACCAACATAAAATGTGCCTTAAATGAAAAGACATTTTAGGAATGCTGTTGAGTTTCCTATGTGGAAGTACTGATACCATGTCTGTGGGGAATATAAAAATAAAGCATGGCTCCTGAACCTAAAATTATTCTAGCCAGAGAGCTAAGATACATATATTATTCTAATGCAAAATAGAGAATTTTTAAACAGTATAAAAAAATAATAAAATGCTGTGTTCCCATGAAAGGTGGTAGCTTAATAGACTAAAAAATGCTTTATGAAGCAGCAGCATTTAAGGAGGCTTAAATTATCATGACCTGATATATATGATAAATGAAAACTTTTCCCTATAGTTTACTAGTTTTATTAGAGGTTTTAGTTACATGTAAAGTAAGTCTAATTTTGTGAAGATACCAGAATGTGTTCCTGTGATTTTTGATTTTAATCGAAAACACTTATTTTGCAAACACTTTGTTACACCATTTATATGTCTGTATTATATTTTGGCATAGTTGCTTTTCATTTTCTTTTGTCCCAAAAGATCAAAGGAACAAATGGGCAGGTTACAAGAGCAGATATTCTTCAGGTTGGTCTTCGGGAGTTGCTGAATGCCCTCTTTTCTAATCCTATGGATGACAACTTAATTTGTGCAGTAAAATTACTGAAGGTAGG